TTCACAATTTGTTCATCGGTCAAAAATTTAAAATTTTATACATCACGATTTATTCATCAGTCACAAATCTATCAAAGTAATAAGTCACATATTATTCATTGGTAACAAATCACAAATTTTATATCTAACAAATTATTTTACGGTCACAATTCAAAAATTTTATAGGTCACAATTTGTTCATTGATCACAAATTAAAAATTTAAAAGTCACAATTTATTTATCAGTCATAAATCACAAATATTATAAGTCACAAATTATTATACCGTCACAAATTAACATTTTTAGGTCGCAATTTATCTTTTTTATTAGTCACATATTGTTTATTGGTCATAGGTTAACCAATTTAATTATCACAATCAACCAAATAATCTGTGGCCACCACCAACGCTTGCGACAATCACTTCGCCATTGCCTCCAGCAACAGTGCAACAGTACCACCACCGTCGTCGCCTAATAGCAACATCACCATCTCAAACAAACCAACAACACAACCTCTCAGCACCACTATCACTACGTCCAACAAACTACCACTTTCAACTTCAAAACTACCATCGCCAACAACGAGATCCATCGCCGTCGCCGCCACAACAAAACCACAGCCACCACCATATCCAACATAATCGACCACTACATAAAAATAACCAACAAATAATTGGTTACATGTCTGCTACCATCGCCAGCACCATACCACCACCACCTGCACCACTACACAAAAATCGGAGCTAAATCCACAATCACCACCGCCACTACCACCACCTTACCATCAATGCCAACAGCTCCACCACCACACCTCCAATCAACCACCGCGCCATCGCCGCCTACTAAAATCCACAATCTCTCCCAACACTACCACACCACAACCACCACCTAACCAACAAAAAACATCAATCACCACCGCTTCTTCTTGTGACCACAACCACCAGTTCTACCAAACAATCTCCAAATCGTCGCTGCCAACAAACTGCACGATACCACCGCCCACATCAACGATTCACCACAACCTCCTTAGATCGAAAAGATAAAGAAAAAAACCCTAAACCCCCCTCCCCGCATCGTTTGCGCCGAAGGACTGCAACATTGAGAAGCTGCGTTCACGATCTGCAAAAATAATTTGTTGCCCGAGTGAGTAAATGTGCAGTTTTGTGGCGGACTGCAAAAATCATTTGGTGCTTGCTGCACCGGCAACAAGCTCTGCCGTGCGAGGAAAAGGACAGAGAAAGAGACGAGAGGGAGAGTGAAGACACAAGAGAGAGAGAGAGAGAGAGAGAGAGAGAGAGAGAGGAGAGGAGAGGAGGGGAAGAAGCGTCAGTGGCCATGGCGTCGGCAATTTGAGCAGAGAGGCGGGAGAGGAGATGGGAGAAAATTTGATTTTAGGGTTTGGATGGGGGTAGATAGTGTAGAGGTGTGTATATAAATTAATTTAAATTGTTATTAATATTAAAATTAATTTACAATAATTAAATGAATTATCTGTTTTTTAAAAAATGAAACTTCCTACCTAATTTTTGAATATTGGTTTTGAAAAATAGGATTTTGTCATTTTTGTGTAATTTTCCCTTATTATTTTTTGCATTGGGCCGAGCCTGTGTATTTTAACCGGCCAGACTATGAAGATAATTGGGCTTCGACGAAACCCACTCATCCGGTCAGAGTTAAACCCCTCCTATATATCCTTCCTCCCACTGATCCGGCTAGAGTTAAACCCCTCCTATATATTCGTTCGCCCTCATTACTCATTAGTTCGAAGCGAACACAGGACAATCCTCGAGGATTTGACAATGGCTACCACTTCAAATAGCCAAGCAGTAAAATCTTTGAATACAGGCCCCGGTCGACGTCGCTTTATTGTAAGTTCCTCGATGAATTATATAATCTTCGAATCATATCCGTGCCTATGTTTGTTTTAGGGCGTGTTTGAAGCTCGAAATTATTCAGTAATAATTGTTTTATTTGTCTGGGTGCAGTTCAAGTCGTTCTCGCAAAGAATAGAGGAAATTGACATTGATGTATACAGAAGTCTCGACCCATTGAAAGCCGAGCCCTCCGAAGGCTCCTCCTTTTTCCGTGACTGTATCATAGAATACAGAGTACGCATATATTGTATTTTTATTAAATTTATTGGTTTATTTCAAGTTTTGGTGTTAGCGGGTTGTTGATGAATATAAGCAAGTCCTCACTTTTGCCATATATGGAATGAGATATAAAATTAAGAAAGATGTAAAGCCGTACAACTTATCGTGTTTATGTAATTATGATTTTATTTGAGCTGTGTGGTTGTTGGGTTCCTGGAATTGTTGTTTTGGTGCTTGAATGTGAAAGAGAAATTATGAGCAATCCTAGTCTTTTGTGTTATGCTTTGTTAGTTAATAATGGAGAAAGTTTGTACTTAGCGGGACAGCATGAGGTTTTAAGTCGTTATATAATCGGTAGTTATGCTCACTGTGCAACTTTAAAGACTCATGTTTGTGTCTTGGCACCAATTCACCCTGCCTGTGCATCGCCGAGACTACACTCACCTTAATATGAGTCCTCTGTAATTCTCAGTTTCTATCCTTTAAAAAGTACATATATACAGACTAAACTTGTTGAATACAGATGCAGTCAGATTTGGGTGGGAATGTGTAATCAATGCATCAAAAAAATTGGTCTGGCATAAATGGTTTGGCTATCTAGACGTGTATCATTTGGTGGATGTAGGGACCTACAAATGGATTGTAATAGCTCATTACTTTTTTCTATCATTTAAGTTTTTTAGTACAGAATGACAAATTGGAACACCTTTAATGGCAACATAGTAGCTTGGTATCAACTAATAATTTCTACAGTATATTGACAAGATAGATGTTTTTCCATATTGCCTGTCTATCCTTTTTGGAACAGTAATTTCTTTCCGTTTCTGTAATTTATAATTCATCATTCCCTCATTCTTTGAATTATCACTGAAATTATGAACTATTTGTAAAGGCATTGTTGTTGCATCCATATTTCAGCCATGTCTTACTGCACTTATAATCTCTGTTATGACATGCTACTTATGTCTATATCATAGAAATATCTTAAAGTGTCTTACTGCACTTATGAACTATCTGTTCTGACATACTACTTACATCTATGCAATAGACGTGTTAGAGTCTGGTTCAGGCAGCTCACAATTTAATTCTTAAGGAACATCACGTGTATCGTTTTTAAATTGGCAATATATAGGTTTGGTCATGTATACTAAAATTGCATTTGACATGTCTATATTTTTTGCACTTTCACTTCGAGGAATTTCTTTCTTATGCAACTTCTGTTATTGGGTGGACTGCAGGAATTGAACACTGCAGAGGATTTTATTTCATTTTATGAAGAAATGTTCCCTTTGGTACAAACACTGCCACAAATCATATTGCAGAAGGAATTGATACTCTCGCATCTTCTTTCTAGACTGAAAATGAGAGGGAGATTATCACTTGAACCCATACTAAGGTATTGTAGCAAATTAGTAACCAATTACATGCTGTACAATCATAATGAGTAATGATCCATATTCTCTATTACTTCTTAAATCGTTGTCTTTCATCATCTGGTCTCACGGTTGATTTATTGTATGATAACGTCAAGTGTACCCATTACAAATTTGAGTTCAATCAAATCATCAGCAGTTGCCGATATTTTGATAGAAAATGGAAAGTAATATGAACAAAAAAGGGAAGGAGATCTAAAAGATCTTTTTCCTAAAGTTCCCTTTTCGTCCACTTACTATTATACCTTCCCTCAACGAAGTACGTGCGTAAAGATTGCCTTTTTTTTGCATGCTTGCTGACTCTATGACTTGCGCAAGCATGATCTGTGTAGTTCATCCTGGAAACTTCTTAGTCAAGAAAGTCTCTATGAAATATAATCAGTTTTGTTATTTTTCTTTTCTAGCCAACTGGATGCCTTCTGATTTAGGACCCATTTTTAAGTCTGTGGTGCACTCTAACGAGAGACAACACTGATATTTATGGCCGCTATATGCCTCTTGGGGTTTATAGGTTAGCATTGCATCGGTGGTCATTTGTTTTGGATTTGGCATGGATGTGGTATCTTGTGCCACTGTATTCTTGACTGATAAGTAGAGGAGACTGGAGAGTGTTAACTGGGTCCTAGTACGTAACTGTGCATTCCTTGTTGGTCAAACAAACTGTCCATTGCTTCGTTGTCGCACTTTGCTTGCATTCTTGGATATTGCATTCCGAAGAATAAATTGTTGAATCTGATATTTTTGAACAGTCTTTCACCATTTCGATATTGATATTCAGAGATATTGCTAGCTACATAATTGAAGATATCACATGTCAAATATTTATAGAAAATTATATATAAAAGTTGGAATTCCCTGGGGAATTGCTGCTATATCATCTGATTACACATTTGTGCAAGGAGATTTTGTTTCTTCTATATTGGGAGTCGGGGTAGAGGGAACTGTATGAGAAATATGGAAGCTGTTGTATTACCTTATCTGCGGTGTGATCTTATTGTTCCAAATGAAACTTGATACATTTAGCCAATTTGCATTCACTAGCCAAGTGAACATTTAACTGATTCCATGTTTAATTTTAGCCTCTGTAATTTGTATAGTTGATAGCTTTTGGCAACATAGATTACAATAACATTAGATAAATCGTTATTGTTAATATGACCTTATTGAATTGAGTCTCTATTTGTTTCTCATTTTTCATCCATAAAAATGAAAAATATGACTGTTATCCATGACACCAAACCATCAATTTTGAATTTCTATCTCTTGTGTGGGGCCAATAACGACTATATTTTTCATTCTCATTCTACAATAATGAGAATCAAACGGCCCTGAATATAATTCTACAAATTCAGATTTTCCATTTTACATGCATTTCTGTATATTATTCCTAAAAATCATGGTGTTTATGGCCGTAGGTTGATTGCTGCTTTATCTAGAGATCTTCTGGAAGATTTCATACCGTAAGTTACTCTTTCTGAATTTGTATCTTTATTAATGCATTTTCTTTTTCTTTCTAATTAATATTTATTATTACTTTTGCTTTCTAAATAATCTCTCTTTTTTAGTACTTGTTCTTTCTTTCATGCTCAAGCTTAAAGTGCTGTTGCATTTTATCTATGTTTGTATGATTACATCTTGAACAGTCTGTTGGGGAAAGGTAAAAAGTGAGAAATGAAATTTGGGCATTTTACCTTTCTTTTATCTAAAGTTAAATCTCAAGGATCCAGAAATATAGGCACAGTATAAAAATTAAAATAATTTCCGTAGATACAGAAGAGTAATAGCCCAAAATAAAGCATTAGTTCAGGAAGTTCAATGATAATGCAATCTTAAGCAAGGGGAAAACAAAGAAATAGCAAAAGATGATTTGATATCTGGGGTAAAGTATTTTTAAGTCTGACCCTCCTCTTTGACCTTACAGCCCTGCCTGCAGCTTGTATTATGAGGCAGATGCCTCAGATTTAGATTAGGGCCTTAAAGGAGTTTCAGTGCTTCCTGAGACCTAGAAATGGGTCCTCCCGATAATCATACTTCTTCACCTATAGCTGTACCTGTACCCTTCTATCATTTCCTTTTGGCCTTCAATTTATTTCTTAATCAAATATGATTTGTACATATAATTCTGGTTTCTTGATGTAATTATAATTTTGCCCTGAATCATTATGGGACACCATATTTCAATTCAATGTTACCGAGGAAGTGGCCAGGCATCAATATTTCCTTGATATTGAAACTAGAAACAATGTCTACACCTCCAAGTTAGGCTTCGTAGATAGCGTTGTAATACTGAGCAAATTAAAATGATACCTTCAAAATTAATTTACCCTAAGCCTTTGTTTGACAACCATTAAAATGAATTGAATAGTGATTTTTTTGGAGACTGTCGGTTAAAAAATTTGAAAAAGTTTTGAATTTACGTGCAAAATATTTTATGTAGGAGATATTACACCGATAATGTGCATATTATATTCATCAAGATCATGTCGTTAATATGCGTGAAATCGAAACATCATTCGACTTACCGAAATCTGATTTGAGAAGATAAAATAGCGATTTACCGACTTCGAATGTAAAGCCATTTCCACGATTAAGC